ATGTTATCACCGCTTCTTTTCCTTATAGTGATATTCTTATCGCATCATACGATTTGTGGAGTTAAATTATCATAAGTAAACAACATAATCGTATTACAGGCAAATTAATGTTATCACTGCTTCTTGTTTTTAATGCGATGTTCTTCTCGCATCATAAGATTTGTGGAGTTTTATCATTACTAAAAGTGAACAATATACACTACTTGTTCTTATAGTGATGTTCTTATCGCATCATAAGATTTGTGGAGTTAAATTGTTATTAGTAAAAGTAAACAACATAATCATATTACACGCAAATTAATGTTATCAGCGCTTTTTTTTTTTTCTTATAGTGATATTCTTATCGCATCATACGATTTGTAGAGTTACATTCTCATTAGTAGAAGTAAACAACATAATCGTATTTCAGGCTAATTAACGTTATCAATCATTAGTAAAAGTGAACAATATACACTACTTCTTGTTCTTATAGTGATGTTCTTATCGCATCATAAGATTTGTGGAGTTAAATTCTCATTAGTAGAAATAAACAACATAATCGTATTTCAGGCAAATTAATGTTATCAATCATTAGTAAATGTGAACAATATACACTACTTCTTGTTCTTATAGTGATGTTCTTATCGCAGCATAAGATTTGTGGAATTAAATTGTCATTAGTAAAAGTAAACAACATAATCATATTACATGCAAATTAATGTTATCACCGCTTTTTTTTTCTTATAGTGATATTCTTATCGCATCATACGATTTGTAGAGTTAAATTATCATTAGTAGAAGTAAACAACATAATCGTATTTCAGGCAAATTAATGTTATCACTGCTTCTTGTTCTTACAGTGATGTTCTTATCGCATCATTCTCTTGTAATCAAATTATTGCAATTAGTCTGATTCTGATGAATGCGTAAAGATATTCTGTTGTTGCTGTTGTGACTAATCTCGCTTGTCAAGAATCAGAACACGCCCACAAAATTCATCTCTGCATGGAGTAGATTATTCCTGTCGTTGGCAAGAGACTTGGTCACCATATAAGCGGCAGTACAGTTTTGCCCAGTTCCACCCCAATACTGAGGGATACTTTCTCTACCACCACTCCACACGACAGAACTTTCGGCTTTCCATATATTTAGTGCCCCTATGCTGTAAAGACACTATAAATTTATAAACATCCAAGCCTTCACCGGAATTCGAAACGATACGGTAATCAGACCGACTAACTACTATCCCGGTTGGAGGCCATTCTTTTAAACATATGCCTGATCACGTGACTTTCCAAGAGAACTTTCTAAGAAGCTTCCAGTCTCAATTGATATTGCAGAGAAATTTGCGTTGTTTATGCAATAATACATAAATGCGGTCCGTGCTCACCAGCTGTCGAGTGGTAAATTCGCTGAACACTGGTAGTTCGTTCCGAGGTTCGAATCCCTCGAACGGGCTGGCTGCATAGGCGTTTCCGTGGTTTTCTTCATGTGTAACGTGTATAGAAGCCAGTTTCCGATCAAAGGTCCTCCACAAGGGAATCCCTCCCCCTAGGCAAGTATCCTTTGAGTGTTTTGCCGTAATCCATTTAACAACCAAACCCTAAAATCCAAGGCTTGATGAGTTTCGATAGCATACGAAGATTCGAGGGGGGGGGCAAGTTATACCCATTGAAAAGAATTTTGAGAAAGAGGAATTTTGAGTTTGTTTAACTTTAGTGATAAAGGAAATATTGTAAAATCATACAAAAAATTACTTTAGAAATAATTTCTTTTAGAATTGCATGTTACCTGTGTGGTCTCCTATGCTTTTGTAATGTCGTAGAATGAAGAGAAGGTATTTATGTAAACTCGCACATCATTGCACTGTCCTTCTTCGAAACAACGTACTTGATAAGAATAAGACGTATTGTGTGAAAATTCCTTATTTTAAAAACGACAGTTTCAGCAAATCACAGGCAAAACCATCATAAAACTGGCGAGATAAAGATTTTGGGTGTTATAATTCCCAAGTACACTGAAAAATTTGAGAGTTCGATATTTTAAGTACAGTCAAAGAATAGCATTGAAAGAGTTGGCAGTTACAGTCAAGTCCTAACTGACGTGTGGTTGCTCTTAAAACTTCCATATTTTCGTGAATTCTCCCTGTTTTCTTCCTGTTCTTGGCACAAAACACTGAATCGGAGATCTCTCTGGAATCTTCATTCCAAGCACTACTGATGAACGAAACCAATAGGTCGTCGTTAAAAGATACGCGAACAAACATAATCAAACTTGATAAAGGAAAGTGGACATAAATCGTTCTCGCTCTCCCAATATGTGTGTGTGTGCGATTATGGCAAAGCCTCGAGAGCTATCTGCCTAAGGGGAGGGATGCCTTCGTGGAGGACTTTCTAAGGGAAACTGGCTCGTATACACGTTACACATGGGGAAAACCACGAAAACGCCCATGCAGGCAGCCCGTTCGCGAGATTCGAACCTCGGACCGAACTACCAGTGTTCAGCGACTTTACCACTCGGCCGCTGGTGAGCGCTCTCCCAGTATGAAAAATCCTCCCTCGTTTACAGTTACTGAGATGAATGCGTTTCTTCCTGAAGCGATTTCTAATGTGGAAACTATTTCTATTGCCCGCTAGATAAGGGTTATCACTTTAATTTACGCAAAAAATTGACATAAATGATTCTTCCCCTTCCCCCGGGTCTTCATATATGATGGTGGGCAGATCTGGGAGTTGTTCAATGGAATTAAACCAATTTCCTCAGCTTTGGGATGGCAAATAGTCTTCGTGTGTTTTGTCATAATCAAAAAGATTCAAACTCAAAACTGAAAGCATGTAGTTTAATATCGCACTCAAAACGCTATTCTTTGAACTTTACTTGTTCATCGAAATTTTATTTATATTTTCTATCGAATTTCTGTTGCTTTACTGTATCGCCCTGTCGTTCCTATACATTCATGTTATGAAAAGCAGCTATGGATGATGTGAAAAATTTGTCTTCTTTATTTTTTAAAATAAATTTGTTACACTTTGTGTTTAAAATTTTTGACTTCTATATTTTGTTTAAACCTCAACATTGTTGGTCCGAAAATCACACTTTCAATTTTTCTGCTGCCAAAATTATTCAAAAAACATCTTCCATTGGAGAACTGGATTTTCTAGAGGCATTCACATTCATAAAAATCTTTCTGTTCTAGTTAACGATCCTAATTCCAATCCAAATTTGCCTTCGGCTTTTAGAGAAATTATGTTTTAGTTCTGGTTTCGCCAACAGATGGCGCCACTTGCTTATTCTTGTCCAGGCTTTCTTATCTTATCTAAACATTATTTCCTATCTTGTTCATTTGCGGTTTTGCAGCTGAAGATGATGGTTCGGTAAAACCATCGAAACTAGTCCTGTGAAAATTTTGTGAATTAACGCTGATTTTTGTTGTTTGACTTCTGAATCAGCTGTCATGATTTATAACTTCGAATAGTTAAGTGTCCGGGTAATTAAGAGGTCCCTATACTTGCTGCAGGTCATAATTAAAACTAAACTCAGTGGCGTAACAGCCCTAAAGGGCCAAGGCCTGCAGTGCCCGAAATCAGCTTTCTTGACCGCGGGCCCCGGGGTGCGTAAGCATATGTCCTGAACAAGTGGTCAGCTTGTCGCAGGACCCCCAGTGTCTAGTCCCCAAGCGAACTTGGTACTCATTTTATCGACCCAAGTGATGGAAACAAGGGATGAAAGGCTGAGTCGACCTTGCCTAGCCCGGGAATTGAACCCCGGACCTGTGGGGCTGCTGCGCGATGCACAGGTCATAATTGTGAAAATAAAATTATTCAGTGTATTAATTTAAATAAAATAATTGAACATCTAAGCTCAGTCAGCTTCGACGGGAGTTAAATTTGACTTTCCTTAAAAGCACTTTGATAAAAGATAAATAGTATTTTGTTGCTTTTATTTTAAAATTAAACTCCTTTTTATAATTTATTTATAGAAACGCATTAAAGTCTCAAATAAAACTTAAAATCTTTTTTCCATCCTTTTTTTTTCCTCAAGCCTACTTCTTTTTTCTCTTATCCTTTTTTAGTCCAAAGGGATTTGAATCCCGAAGGACTATTAGTTTCGTTTTGGCATTTTGCGTCGGACTCATAAATGTCGGTTCACTTTTCAAACTGTTGCTACAAAATGTTAGAGTCCTGCATTATATTTGAAGAAATTAAATAATGAAAAATCTGCATAAATGTATGTATATTTCTCGTATTGTGATAAAACAACGGTACATAGAGTCATCGAATTTTGAATAACGTAATCCTCCAACGAATATGAGCATGTGGAAGACCAAATTTGAAATTTGAAATTTGTTTTATGATCGATTTCCTATTTTTTAAAACTTTGACGAATTTTTGATTAACAAACTCAAGGATTTCAAAGCGAGCAATGGGAACGTTGTGCAGAAAAAACATTCTTATCTCCAGCGCGTGAGTCTCTGTATCGGAAATTCTAAAGATATACTCGTTTTAAAACTATTTTGCGATATTGCTGTTGCACTGGATCTTATGGTTTAAGTGCGAGGAACATGATATTTAATAAAGAAAGGTAACACACAAAATGTTAAAAAACGCCCCTTTGGACGTAATTTAAAATCTGAAACATTTCAGATTTTTTTTTTTTTTTTTTTTTTTTTCTCAAGCCTAGTTTCAGACGGAGTTAGTTTTCAGCCTTTCGTACTTTATTCGTGCCAAAAGTGGATTCAGTAGAGTGGCAAAACATTGATTAAATTCGCAATAATATTTCTTCTTACATAATGGCAGTATAAGTGAATAGGTATCATTATTTCTTATTTGTCTTTCTTATTTGTGACTTTACTGTATAACTACCGTAAATTGTATAAATTTTGTTAACTACTGCTTACAATAAAATTTTTAAATAGTTTATAAATTATCACTTTTCTATCAGTTACTGTGTTTATGCAAAATTTAAAGTGTTTATAAATCGATAAAAAAATTATGTTAATAGCAGATTCTTTTTTCTTTCAGTACCAGATGGTGTTCTCTGAAAAGAGATGACTAATATCTTCCTATGTATGCCAGATGTACGCCATCTTCGAGGAAGTTGTCGGGCCACAGCCAGCAGTCACCTTCTCTGCCGCGAAAGATACACAAAACCCAGAAGACGAAGATCAAGGAATCGTTGTGACCTCTGCCGACCAACAATCCGCGGCCGACCCAGAAAATTCTGAGAATACTTCCCAGTATGGAGCGGGGCGGACGCGACCTAAGAGATCCCCAGCTAAGCAACGAGTCTATGGATCCTCTTCCTATCATCACAGGCATTCAGCTACCTTACCACGAAGCAGCAGACGACGCCTCCAACCATCGTCGACAGCAATACCGAACGACAGCGAAGACACATCATCATCGACCTCCTCGTCCAATCCGCTGCTGGACACGATTAGTGTCCTAGCTTACGATCCTCCGGATGATTCCGACGACTATTATGATTTGACGAGTGTAGTCTATGGCCAGTGTAGAGGCGCATCTAAGAGTGAAGGCGAAAAACACAGCAAGACTAGCGCAGGCGTCACAGTTGAAGGAGATCGTGACTCTATTGGTTATGCGGGATCTAGTTCCATCGATAGCGGCTATAAAAGTTTTTGTCCTACACCAGAAATTCCAGACTCTTCGATTTATGGACCAGAAGACTTGTGTAATCGAACTCACCCCTATTCTGGGTTTTACACGGATTCGTCCGTTTCTCAGGGTCGGAGTAGTAAACCTCGAATTATGATGGGCACTAAAGTCATTAACAGGCAAGGGCAAGTGTCACCTTCACCGCTCAGAGAATCTCCAGTGTCCAGGAGATCAGATTCAAGCCTATACGATGTGAATCTGGATCACCTCATGTACCTTAGGCAATCACTGTTAAGCGCGATTCAGAAGTGTGAGTCTTCAAAATCAGATTCCACTCCGTCTGCTAAGCAAAGCAGGCGAGACAGCACTCAGGCGGACAAATACGTGAATGGTAATCTTGTGGAGGACCAACGTTATACAGATAATCCTACTGCGAAATGTGCACCACCGAGTTACCAAAAAACGGTTCGTTTTAACACAGATGTGAAAGTCTCTACTGTGAACTCGTCCCAGCCGGCCAGCGAGAGTTCGGATGCCAATTCTTCTCGGACAGTTGACTCCTCTGGTGAGGCGAATAAAATACAATCTAAGTCCATTCTTAAAGATCCATTGTGTGCGAATCTTCGGTCGCAGTTGGAAGCTGGTTCTTCGGACTGCACACTGGAGGAAGAGATCGATTCTCTTCTGTATGGAAGAGCTGAATTTTACGATTTGGAAAGCGTCGATGACTTTCCGTGCAGCTATGTAACCATGATCGAAGAGAAATATCGAAGTGGAAAACCCAGCTTAGCCAAAGTTAGGAGACTTAAAGGTAAATTTTGATTTTCTGCAGTTCTTTGTAAAACACGAGCAACACTATTAAATCAGACATAAATAAGATACAGTAAGTATTATTAAGAAAGATATCTCTTAGTGTAACGGGGCGAATAGTTACCAATAAATGATGGGTAGAAATTTGTATTTAAATATTTAAGAGGAGAAAACAGTGTCATGTTCCTCTTGTTAAAATTAAAAAATAAGCTTTCCTTTTTTGTAAGATGTAACTTTTTCTTTATTAATTCTTTTGTTAATTCAGAGTAACTTAAAAGATAAAAAGAATCAGAAAAACGTATTACTAATTTCTTCTAAAAATCCGATATAATAAGCATTTCAGAGAATATTTTTTAAGTTAATATTTTTTCTAGAGAATATTAGTCTGATATAGGGCTAATTGGTAAATATCCAACAATGTGCCGTTGGGTGAACTGCATTGTCAAATAGGTTTCCTTATTCACATGAAAAATTCATATACGCATAAAATGATAATTAAATGGCAGCTGTTAAAGCACAATTCAAGGCTAAATTATGGAATATAAATCCCGGAGAATAGAATAATGGAATTCGAGAGGAAGGGATTTTATATCCTTTTAAAATGCTGGCCCGTCTCAGATTAGACTTGTATATCACAAACCTGCCGTAAAAAGACCGTACACTGTTTCTTTTTAAATTTAAACAAATTTAAATTCTAAACAAATACGTATAAAAGTAAAAAAGTAGAAAAGCAAATTTAAATTCTAAAAAAAGAAAAAAAGCCAAAATAATTTAAAAATATGCAAACATGTAAAAAGATTTAATTCTCGAACTAATCTACAATATCATTTAAATTCAGAAGCATAAGGAAATCAAGTGTAAAATCTCTATCCTTGAAAATAAATCTACTAATTTAATAAATTAAAATTAAATTAAACAATTTTTTTAAAAAAATGCATATGTGAATGATCGTAGAGTAGGCAGGAGACAGACTTATCAAGGGGAAGTTGCTTCCAAACCTAACTAACTCTCCAATCATTCAATTCGTGTTTCGTCATTCATGCAGGCAAGGGTAAAAGTCAAAACCAAAAGTAATTCCAATAAAGTGGTGTACCCTTAGAATTAACATTTAAGTATTAACATTTAAGAATTAAAGTTCAAAAAGGAAAATACTAATTAAGTCTTTTGAGAAACAAGTAAAGTCAAGAATTAAACTTTTTCTTAAAAAATTAAATTTTTTAAAAATTATTAATTTTTATAAAATAATAAAAAAATCTAGAAACCAATGTATTTTAGAAATCCTTGTCTACAGAAACTTCCCCTACACGAATATGCATATCAATAAAAAGAAACTATAAAAGAACTATATATAATCCATATAAACCAATAAGAATAAAAAAAAAACAAAAAGAAACAAAAAGAACTAATTCACAATTTTTAAAATAAATATATATTTAAAAATATAATTTCATATTTAGAAAATACTTAGATATTACATAAAAATTTTTTTAAAAAAATACTTAAAGCAAGTAAATAGTAAGTTTTAATTCTAACTTACCCTACTATATGAGTGTTGGGGTCTGCAAAAGTGTTGTGAAAGAGAAGTAAGTGTGTTCTTCAAATTATATAGATGGCGCTTATGTAGGTAAAGTTGAGTGTCAAGCTGCTATCTTTGTTATAGTAAAAATTTTTTGTAAATATTAATATTAATTAAATTAAATTAAATTAAAAATCCTAAAGGTAGTAATATCAATTATTTAGGGAGCTAAGTAACTGAGCCAATCAAGAGATGTATGTTTGCTTGAAGGAAATTAAAGTGAAGTGGTATGTGAAAAAAAGTAAACTGTTTGTAATTTGAAATGTGTGTTCTGTTGAAAAATTGTGAAAATTGTTAAAAAAAAATTAAGTGAAAGATATTTTGTGTGAAAATTGAAAAAAGGTAAAGTAATTATATGGTTCTCACCATTCTCCTATAATTTATAGACAGATGTTTGTAAAGATCAATTTTAGAATTATTTTAGTCAATTTTACGTGTAACGAAAATTAATTGTTAGATTCTATACATAAATTTAGTTAACATGAATTTATTTTTTCTTGTTTTCCATATAAGGAACGGAAACTTTAGTTTTTTAAGAGCTCGTTTTCGCCCGGGTTGATTATTTTCAGTTGATATCATTATAGTTTGATAATTCTTATTCTTTCTTGAATTTTGAGATAGATTTTTTTTTTTTTTTCAAATGGGGGATTGGAACTAGTGAAGCGATTTCTTGAAGCTTAAAATTCTCTTGTACATATCGATTTTAGCTGTAATTTAGCTATAGCATTAAGCTACATAGGTAAGTTGAAAAATAAGTTTCCTCTGTCGACTGTGGTCAGAGTTGTGTATGAAAGTCAAAAACCAGAATGAGACATTAAACATATGACATACCTTTATTTTATTATTCTCGTACGAGTACGTTGAGACATTTGTCATATCGTTTGATAAGCTTCAAAAAGTCCTCCAAGAAAAAATCAGGGCTTTGCATATGGAAGAAGCGTTGAACGGCTTGTTTCTGGCGTGAAATGGTGGACCCACGTTTCATCCCCCGTCACAATCCGAAACAGAAAGTCATTGCCATCTTCATGGTAACGCACGAGATGTTCCAGGCTGACCCCCATGCGTTGTTTCTTGTGTGTCGAAGGAGGTGGTCAAAGGAGGAAGTGAGAGCGGTTATCCGCTATGAATGGGCACGTGGAGTATCAGGAACAGAAATTCATAACCGCCTCGTGTAAGTCTATGGGCCAGGTGTGATGTCGAAGCAAATGGTGCGGAGATGGTGTCGCACATTCAGTGATGGACGTCAGCAAGTGGAGGACATACCGAGAGCTGGACGGACGCGCACGGCCACTACAGATGCAAATGTCAGGAAGGTGGATGACATGATTAGAGCGAACGGCGTATGAGCGAACCGGCGTATCACCATCGATGAGTGTAGCGGAAGAACTTGAAATCTCACATGAGCGAGCTCAAACAATCATCCACGACATTCTTCGATACAGAAAAGTGTCAGCACGATGGGTGCCCCGACAATTGACCTCGACACACAAGGAACAACGCATGGGGGTCAGCCTGGAACATCTCGTGCGTTACCATGATGATGGCAATGACTTTCTGTTTCGGATTGTGACGGGGGATGAAACGTGGGTCCACCATTTCACGCCAGAATCGAAGGCCGCATCTATGGAGTGGAAACATCCGTCATCACCTGTCCGAAAGAAGTTCAAGACAACTCCCTCTGCAGGTAAAGTGCTCCTCACAGTTTTCTGGGACGCCCAAGGAGTTTTCTTGTTGGACTTTTTGGAGGTTGGAACCATCAATGCTACGCGCTACTGTGACACCCTGTCGAAATTGAAAGAGGCGATTCGGAAAAAGCGACCTGGCCTTCTCACATCTGGCGCTCTGCTGTTGGATGACAATGCCACACCACATTCGGCGACGGCAACGCAAAACCATATTGCAACTCTTAGTTGGGAGCGCCTACACCATCCGCCATACAGTCCTGATCTCGCACCAAGCGACTTCCATCTGTTTCCGGCTTTGAAGAAAAATCTCGGGGGAAGGCGCTTTGGAAGCAATACTGAAGTGAAACAAGCCGTTCAACGCTTCTTCTTCCATGCAAAGCCCTGATTTTTTCCTGGAGGACTTTTTGAAGCTTGTCAAGCGATATGACAAATGTCTCAATGTACTTGGTACCTATGTGGAAAAATAAAGGTATGTCATATCTTTAATGTCTCATTCTATTTTTTGACTTTCATACACAATTCTGACCACAGTCGACAGGGAAAACTTACTTTTCAACTTACCCTCGTATTTATTAAAATCGAAAATTCTCTTTATTGGAATCTCATTGAAATTTTTATACCGGAAAATGACTTACAATATACTTATATATATTACAACGTACGTATATGCATATAAAGGTCACAAATGGAGACGTAATTAAGATGAAAGGGGTAAAACAAAGTAAGAAAAGACGTGATCAGACGGTAGAAAATTTTTATATTATTAAGAAGTTAAGATTTTTTATTAAAACGGGTTACGTAGGCTGTATAAGTATCGAAGAGCAGATGAGGTTAATCTGTTAAGGGAAGACTGGGCATTCGTGGAGAACTTTCTAAGAGAAACTGATTTGGTATTGCACATGGGAAGAAACCTCTAAAAAATCCCAAACAAACAATCCGTTTGCTTGGACCGGAATTCAGGTCGAACTACTAGTATTTATAGTCTTAGCCACTCGGCCTCTGGGGAAAGGGGCATAAAATTGAAACTATCAGTTCATTAATTCGAAAAAAAGGGGTTATGAAATTACATAAGTACCGTTACATCTATCGTTTAGACCTGATTACATCTGAAGAATGAAGCGCAGTAACAGTTTGAAAATTACTTTAAATATTTTAATTTATATTACATATATATGAACAAAGTACGAAGTCATTGGGAAGAGGTAATCCTACTTATCCTATCCAAGGAAAACGTGCAGTGAAGAAGTAAAGTAGTAAAAATAAGTAAGCCTAAGGAATCTTGAACAAGTTAGAACGAAACCATGAAACCAAAATTAATGCTAAAGTTAAAAATCCACAAACGCAGCAGTGCAATGTATACATGAAGCACCGTGTAGAAAAGTGAAAGAATACGAAAAACAAAATCTCCTTCTTTACTACTTCAAACAGAACCTTTCAAGGGAAAAGTGTTTGAAATGTTAAACTGGGCAATTAATGAGTTCCAAACACATGTTTCGCACCTCTGAACAATATGAGACTGACTTAAAATCGTTTTAAGGGGGCTCATACACCTTAAACCCCTTAACACCCTTTGAATATGCTACTGTTGCAAGAATTGGGATATTTTATTTATTTTTAAATCAATTACTTTTTACAGCTGACTACATAATATAGCTGCTTTGGAAACTAGTAACCAGAAAGTTTGTGTTGCCACAAATTTTTTTTTAATTTAATCCGCTTTGTGACAAAATATTTCGCCAT